GACTCCTAAAAGGATATTTTCCGATCATTACAAATTTAACTTATTCATGTCTAGGATTAACGGTTATTTTATTCATAAACTAGCATAAATTGTGTCAATTACGCTGCAACCATCTACAACAAGTGGCTCCGGGGTCTTATAAAAAGTGAACAGTACTGTGAAAAAAAAAAAAAAGAAAAAATATCGGATACGTGAAGGTCAAAATGAACAATAGGATTCTATCAACACAGGAAAGAGTTCCTGGTGAAAAAATGAAGAAAAAATGCAACGATACGATGTCAGGTGAAAGTATAGAATTAATATATAAAGTTCTGACATTTCTGTTAATCAAATGTCCGAACAAGTCCACAGTGTCGCCATTGAATGCACGCCAAAGCCAAGATGCATTTAAAGTACTCTCTTACGTCGTTCATGTCGTTTTAGCTCTAAATTCAGGGCGATTTGTTCTTATCCTTTTCAACAGAGAGGCGAGAAAACAAAGGTTTTTCCTTCTTGTACTTGTAATTTCATTTTACACCATATTTCTTTCGTGGAGTATTCTTTATCGCTTGTTTTGCAAAGATGGATTTTTACAGTTGCGCGATCGCTTGCTTGATTTGGAAATTCACATAGAAAATGAAAAGAAACTGATACGTATGACTCAAAAACTGAAAAATTTGTTAATTTTTTTTCTCTAACGTTCGGATGCTTCACAACAATAGCGATATGGTTATCATTAATGTTTATACCAGAAGAAAATTCGGTATTGCCAATGTTTACTTCATATCCAATAACAGTTGAGAGTGACGCCTACATAATTGTCTCTGTGATTTTTATAATTCTACTGACCATTGGAAACTTCTGGACCCAGGTAATTGCCATTATTGCCATGTGGTTGATGTCGTTTCTTCGAAATGAGTTCGATTGTCTAGCAGAATCTTTCCGAAGAGATTTTCCTCGCAGCGATGCTAAGCAGAAAATTAATTTAAGCGAAAATGAAAGAAATTCTCGTATCTTTGAAATCTACCAGAATCATGTGAAATTATACGACGTCTTAGATTCGACGAATTTCCCTTGCCGCACTTTTTTCTAACTTCATCTTTTCGGTTATAATTGCCCAGTTTTATTTTGATCTTGGCCGGTTGGGTGCTTTTCCCTATTCCAGGTGAATTTGGTTGCTGTATGCATGGTGTGCACGCACCGTCCATCTTAGATTCGCCTGGGAGAATAAAGGTTCCTATTTCCGCACGACAGATCCGGACCGCCTGATGATTGTGTAATTAAAAATTTAATTAAAATTGACACCAAAAAGTTTTTGAAGTCACAACTCTTTGGGTGCTGTCACTGGATCTAACCAACGCTTTTATCCACTGTGCCTTGTGCCCTTGAAGACAATACTCGGTTAAGGCTGTGGAGAAGTTGGAGAGGTGAATTAACAGGAAATTACTGATAACTGACATCCATCAGACATGGCGCGTGGAACTTGAACAGTCTACCCCAACGAGCGAAATAAAGGATTCAGTTCGACATTCCATCCACCTGAAGAAGGCCGGAGCGTACAACAGCCGAAACGTTGTGATAAATATGGCAAAAAAGATGAGGACAATGGTCCGAATAATGTAAATAGTATGAATAATACCTCCTCTCAGAAATATAGACAGAGACAAAACAATAATAATTAAAAATGATAGAGTTATGATAATGAGAATAATGGATTAGCAAAAAAGTTAAATGAGTTACAGACTATTATTAAAAGAAACAAAAATAAATAGTATCAATATTAGCATGTGTGGTACCCAGGTCAGGTTAGACTATACTATTCTGAGTCAACGTATTTGAGTAGAAATTTGGATCTAGGAAGGCAGGTGCTCATTAACTCAATTCATTTGTTTAAGAGATTGGGATTGTTTATATTTTTCAGGATTATTAATTTCCCAGAAAGGCATAGGTTACACCTGTTTCCCTTCCCACTGAAATATATATACATGAAATAACGATATATAATTTTATATATCAAGAACAAGAGTGGGGAAATACGTATGACAAAGTAGAAAATGGATGAAACACGTTGCAAGAAAACCTTGTCCACTTCGTCATACATTTTCCCCAATATTACATACATGCATGCAAACACACACATGTACGCACACACACTCATACACACACACACACACACACATATATATATATGGAAAATATATATGATTTTTATATATCAGAGACGAATTTAAAGAAAAATATGACACACATAGATATATGAATATAAGTATGTATATACGTTAATATAAGTAGTGTTCATATAGGGATCCACAAGGTGTAGCGACAGTCTGTTTCATGCTTGAGCGCAATCTTCTGTCCAATGTCTGAACATTGTATTCAAGCATTAAACAAACTGTGATCTCTCTGTGCCGATCTTTGTGTACTCGATGCTTATATTTATGTACGCTATATACTATTGATATCAAGCAACTTTACCCCACACCTTAAAACTTGCCACCTATCTAGTACTGAGTTTAAATTAATAATATCTTGGTAACATAGCTAAGAGTTCATCCGAACAGTTACCCTGAAAATAGTTATAAAAAATGAAACAGGGAAGCTACAGAGTTGCCAGGTCAAGACCAATAATATTGCTGATTCTTATCAAGAATCTATAAATATACAGAAGGAGCACCGGGCCAGATTTAGCAGCAATATTTAAAGCAAAGACGAAGTTTTAGAGAAAATCGAAACAAAAAGACTCTTATAATTAACATCAGGAAGAAACAGTTGAAACTTCTAGGACACTTAATAAGAAGTGTAGACTAGGAAAATTTGATACTCTCTGGGCAGATTGAAGGTAAGAGTTACAGAGGAAAATAAAGTATAACCTACATAGTGAACTGGAATAAATAGACGACAAAGCAATGTTTAGGAGAGTTACTAAAAAGACAAAATTTATTAAGAGCTACAAAGGACAGGAAAATGTGGAGTGCCATAATCATCATTGCTCTGAAGAGACATGGCTCATAGAAAGAGAACAACTAAAACAACAACAATCTTTCTTTCTTTCTATATTTTCTTTTATTATTTATTTAGATTCATTTATATTTTTTATTCTTTTTTATTGGTATTGCCTGTGTGTTTATTTTTTGTTTTTTTTTGCAACCACTCACGGAAAATGTCACTCCCATTTTTCATCGTTAAAACGGCTTTCAAAAAATGGATGAAAGTGTTGATATTGCTTTGAGATTGTTGAGACATCATCGAGTTAATCACTCATGGAAAGCCAGTAGCAACACATATGTTTAATAGGATGTCTTCGCATGACATAAACACTTACTAATGGATTAACTTTATTTTTAATCTACTGTCGTGCTGCGGTATTAATCAATCCATTCGGACGTATTTGTTCTTGTGATAAAAATCAATATGGCTCACAAACAAAACCAACGGGACTCACAGTTAAGTAATAAACGTTCCTTAGTTCCACCAGTTGTAATCTTCCCTACTAAGACCCAACATAATACGAACATTGCCGCGAAACAAACATAATCCCTTCGTATTTCATTTTTGTGATGTAAATTTCACGAAGCTGATTCTTCCCGGGAACCGCTGCTCTGTGAAACCGATTCCCCAGTGGATGTTTTTCCGATCATTAAACAGTTAATCTATTCATGTCTTGGATTAACCGTTATCGTATTCCCAGACTCGCATAAACTCTCTGGCACTTGCTCTGTAAAACTCTACCACGAGTGGCTCTGGTGCCGTGTAAAAAGTGAACCACTTTAAAAAGAAAGAGAAAAATATCGGATACGTGAGAGTCAAAATGGACAATATGATTCTATCAACACAGGAAAGAGATCCTGGAGAAAAAATAAAGAAAAAATGTAGGGAGACAATTTTAGGTGAATGTATCGAATTAATATATAAGGTTCAGACATTTCTGTTAATCAAATGTCCGAACCAGTCCACAGTGTCGCCATTGAATGAACGCCAAAGCCAAGCTGCATTTAAATTACTCTCTTACGTCGTTCATGTCGTTTTAGCTCTAAATTCAGGGCGATTTGTTCTGATTCTTTTCAGCAGAGAGGCGAGAAAACAAAGGTTTTTCCTTCTTGTACTTGTAATTGCTTCTTACACCATATCTCTTTCGTGGAGCATTCTTTATCGCTTGTTTTGCAAAGATGGATTTTTACAGTTGCGCGATCGCTTGCTTGATTTGGAAATTCACATCGAAGATGAAAAGAAACTGATACGTATGACTCAAAAACTGAAAAATTGGTTAATTTTTTCTCTAACGATCGGGTGCTTCACAACAATAGCGATATGGTTATCATTAATGTTTATACCCGAAGAAAATTCAGTATTGCCAATGTTTACTTCATATCCAATAACAGTCGAGAGTGACGCCTACATAATTGTCTCTGTGATTTTTATAATTCTACTAACCATTAGCAACTTGTGGATCCAAGTGATTGCCATTATTGCCATGTGGTTGATGTTATTTCTTCGAAATGAGTTTGATTGCCGAGCAGAATCTTTCCGAAGAAATTTTCCTCGCATTGATGTCACGCAGAAAAACAATTTAAACGAAAATGAAAGAAATTCTCGTATCTTTGAAATCTACCAAAATCACGTGAAATTATGCAACGTATTAGAGTCGACCAATTTCCTTTTCCGCACTTATTTGAGCTTCATCTTTTCGGTTACAATTGCCCAGATCTGTCTGTTAACTTACGAGCTAATCCATAATTCGATGGAAACTGTGGAATTAGTTTATTTGATAACTATAGTGATTTCCAACGCTGTTTCATCTCTTATTTACTTAGTAAAAAGTCTTAAATTGCATATAAGCGTGAGTATTTTCTAATATTTTATAAAATCTGCTTTCGTTTTGCACTAACTCTTTGAGATCAGTAAGAATCTTAAACATGTCGATTGTTGCTTGAAGATGTAGAGATTTGTGAGTTTATTAGAGAAAATGGTAACGTTATCTTTTTCTCCCCATTTTCTTTACCAACGTTGTATCATTTCTTTAGATTTCACACCCAACTCTCCTCATTCCTACGTTTTCTTCTCACTTTCCCAATTTTATTGCCATGTACAAAATGGACAAATAACCAGTTGATCTCTCTATCTCAGTCAATTCGTATCTATCTATCTATCTATCTATCTATCTATCTGGGTACAAAAAATGTCTACGTCAAAGTTGAAAATTTTTCGTTTGACGCATTTCGACTTTAGGGCTTAATCAGACTAATATATATATATATATATATATATATATATATATATATATATATATATATATATATATATATATATATATTTGTTAGCGGCTACTTTATCTCCTACCTTCACTGAACATATTTTTTTAAAATAACAGGAAATTCGGACTCTTTCCAATATCTTCATTCCTGAAAGAATTACACTTTATCTCAATTCAGTATGCGTGACTATACAAATTATAGATAATTTTAAAAGAAAAATGTTAAATCCATACCCTCCTCCAATTTAAAAAAATATATGATACATAAAGTTGTCGTATACTAAAATAATTTAAATATTAATTGCATAAAAAATTCAACATCGTTTACACATTCTAGTTTATTAGATATTAAATTACGTCAGTGAGCATCCTCTATAATCTACCTAAATATTTCAGGTAACCCGATGAATATTTATGAGCGTCTTTTAAATTTGGAGATTTTGAAAAACAAACACTTTTATTAATAAATAATTGTTGGTAAACAAAATCTTCACATTTATCTTGATAATATCTGTCAGATTATGAAACTGAATAAATATATATATTGATTTGATTATTGGCAAATCGAAAATTCGAGGGTTTTCCGAAACGAGTATAGTTATCTATTTTGTATTTGTATATATATATATATATATATATATATATATATATATATATATATATATATATATATATATATATATATATATATATATATATATATATATATATATGTATGTGTGTCTGCGTGTACGTCAATAAAGACAAAATGGAAACCGATCTTAGCCGACAGGTTTCTCTTTTGTCGTTATATATATATATATATATATATATATATGTATGTATGTATGTATATGTATCTATGTATATATATATATATGTACAAGTGGATACTAAAGTCAACACCAAGATGCGACTATGCGTTTCAATCTTCGACGCAATCTTCAACCCAATTTATTTCGTTTTTGTATTTCTAGACGTTCTATCTCTGATATTGAGCATTTTATCAATATGCTACATTGCTTTCATTTTTCATGGACAGCCATTACTTGATTGTGATGCTGTCATATCAAGGATTGCCAATTATGAATAATTTTTGCACGGTACAGAAGTGAAACTCCAAGTCGTTTTGATAGCTTTTTTCAGCCTTCTCCATTATAGTTTTTTTAAGGCTACAGGAAATACTTTTGATTTTTGAATATATATTTTTAGATTTAGTCTGTAACTGTACACTTTTGCACAGAGAATGAGTTATATTGTTTGACTGCAGTATACACAGCTTACCAAAAATATAAACACGTGTCATTTTGATTTTACATATGTACAAAAAATTATTTGCACTGGCAACCAAGTAAATCAAAAATAGATTGTGTAAATGTTAGGGTTCACTTACATTTGCACATCTTAATTTTTTTTCTTCATATTTTGATTCCAGCTTCATAAAAACCTTTGTAAGTGGTTGCAATTGATTTAATAAAGGTTTTTTTCTTAATAAATATATAGTTTAATAAAGATCTGTTGATTATCTGAAAAAGAGAAAATTATTTTTAATATTATCTTAGGGGTTCGCTTACTGCACTGAATATAGACCACCAACCAAAATCACCCGAATTATACACCATGCATACACTAACCAAATTCGTCCGAATTGCATACCATGCATACACCAACGAGACTCACACAAATTGTACAACAGGTTTACAGCAACTAAATTCACCCGAATTTTATACTATTCATTCACCAACCATTCACACCCGAATTGTACACCATTCATACACCAACTAAACACATCCGAATTGTTTCGCGTAGAATTGGGCACGTTTTGATGCATTGGCAAAATGTTTTTTTGTGGGTGGGGATAACTGCTTTTTTACGGCTTTATTTTTATCTTGGCCGGTTGGGTGCTTTTCCCCATTCCAGGTGAATTTGGTTGCTGTATACATGGTGTACACGCACCGTCCATATTTCTTTCCATCTTAGAATCGCCTGGGAGAATAAAGGCTCCCATTTCCACACGACTGATGCCGACCACCTGACGATTGTGTAATTAAGAATTTAATTAAAACTAACTCCAAAGAAATATTTTTAGTTTCTTTTCCCTCGTTTACATATAAAACGGCGTATGTTTCAGTCCACCGAATGAAATATTGTTTAATTTAACAAACCCAGGAAAACATTAAGAAAGTATTTTAATTCATTAGACCCACTGTACTCTTGAACTTGAACAAAAAAATTGAAAAAATTATTTTAAAAACTATCATTTTTAAAAAATTTTGCATTATTGACACAATGTTACCTAAATGAACATGCAATTACATACTAACCCACACACATATCCTTCTATATCCATATAGATGGGAATATACAGTGCTGTGCAAATTTAAGTGAACCCTAAAAAAATATTTTAAAAAATTGTCTCTTTTTCCATATGATCAACACATCTCAATTAAACTATACATTCATTAAGAAAAACCTTTATTAAATCATATACAACCACTTTCAAAGTTTTTTTTATCAAACTAGAATAAAAATATTAATTAAAAATTAAGAAAAAAAGTAAGTGAACCCTTACGTTTACATTCTGTATTTTTATTTATATATTAAGAAATTACTTTGATTGCACATAGTGAAGTAGTAATTGTCTGAACGCGACTCTGTTTCAGACTGCCTCTGACTCGACTGACTGACTTCTGACGGACTTCACTCCAGACTTCAGACGGAACTTTAGATTTCAGACGGAACAGTATTTAGTCACCCCCCACCCCACGAGAGTATCATGTGGCACAAAGCCAGATTAACGTGGGATCTCCGAGCCCGTGGGCTTGGCCAAAAATATGCCCTTTGAACCCGTATACCTCCCCGAAAGAGACTCCGCCCTTTGGCGTAGCCTCGTTCGCGTTCCATTCACTCAATTCACTTATTTAAGAGATTGGGATTGTTTATATTTTTCAGGATTATTAATTTCTCAGAAAGACATAGGTTACAACTACTGCCTTTTCCACTGAAATATAATTACATGAAATGACGATATATAATTTTATATATGAAGAATATTATTGTGGAAATATGTACGACAAAGTGGAAAAGGACAAAACTCTTTACAAGAATATATATATATATATATATATATATATATATATATATATATATATATATATATGAAAAAAATGTTGTGGCCTTGTTGAGGCCAGAAATAAAGACACAAGAGCGGAATTGTGTTAAATAAATATATTAAAAGAAAACAGCAATGCAAACATATCCAAACGAGAGTGTTACAGCAAGAATATTCGGTTCGACTATCAGAACTGACTGCTCGACACTGCACTCCCCAAAGGCAGTAGCTGCTCTTATGTATAGCTGGGAGAATCCACGCGTGCGTGGGTAAATTAGCTTAACACTCCCTCCTAAGTATTAACTCTGCAGGAGTCTTAATATTTTTTTCTTTGGGTTAACAACGATTAAGTCCGTCATTTTTCTTTTCTTCTTTACACGACCTTGCTCCGGGGCCGCTTAAGGTATTGGCATGTCAAAAGTATCGTAAATTACTTCCATGGCTTCTTTTTCTTTTCACTTCTGCTATCAGCAACGTCCGACATGTGTTTCCTGATGTGGACCTTTAATTATGTAGACCATATTTCTTACTCTTTTCTCAATTGTACTCATTTCCCAAAAAGTTTTGTTATCACGAAATATCCGGAAAAAACCTTTCTTTCCGGGTTGATAGTGTTTTTGGGGGTTTTTGTTTGTATTGGGGTAACTTGTCGAACACAGACTTGATTTTACGCGCGAACATTACCTCGGCTGGGGGTAATGATGATGGTGTGTTGTCATTGGATGTAATTATATACATCTGAAGGAACTGTTGTATGATTTTTTCTGTGGGTGTCTCCCTAGCTTTCTTCAGGGTTCTTTTCAGCGTATCAATGAAGCGCTCAGCCTGTCCGTTGGACCTTGGGTGATATAGGGCGATCGTGATATGATTGATCTTGAAGGCCTCACAAAAAGTCGCCGGACGTAAATTGGGTTCCATTGTCGGAAATCCCTTCAGAATTCTTCTTTCTAGCGTTGTGGGAATGCCGACTCACTCATTATATAGCAGTACTTCGTCGCATAGAGAGAAAATATCTGAAGTCTGTTGGTTCTTTTCCAGAATTTTGATTTTGGATTGCCTGATAAACTCATCGTTTAGAGCTTCTCATTTGATTTGGTCGGGAGTTACTGTGTTGTATAATGTGGTTTTAATTTCTCCTTCTGTTCGAAAAGAAGCAATCACTCTATCTACAAGAGGTTCCCTGTGTTTCGGGATTAATCTGGATAGCCCGTCGGCATGACAGAGTTTTTTAGACGGTAGTAACTCCATCTTGAAATTATAATTTATAAGGATTGTTCCCATCTCCGCAGTCTATTTGCTGTATGCACAGGCAGATCTTTTTTAGAACCAAAAATGTTAAGTAATGGTTTATGGTCCATTTGCAATGTAAAGTGTCTACCATGAATGTACTGGTGAAACTTCGTCACTACGAAAATAAACCCTAACGAGTCCTTTTTCAATATGTGGGTAGATCTACTCTGCAGTAAGATGTGTTCTCGACTTGTGAGCAACTGGTCTGTGAGTTCCATCTGGCATATTGTGCAGAATACATGCTCCAATGCCATACGAGCTGGCGTCGCTGGGAACTATAATGTCCAGGTCTGGGTTATAGTGGGTGAGAAACAAGTCCGACGTCAAGACTTCTTTTATTTTGACGAATGCTTCTTGGCATTCAGGTGCCTACTCCCAGTCCTTGTCTTCTTTCAGAAGTTCGTTTAGAGGAGCACGTAATTTGTGTATATTAGGTAGTAGTTTGCCAATCCTAAAAAAAGAATAATGAAGAGACGTTTTCGGGAGCTGGAATAACCTTGTTTGCGGTAGCAGGTTCTGGTCTTCTGACATTTTTGTCAATAATGTACCTTTACACAAATATTTCATCCTCTCCATAAAGAAGTCACATTTGGATTCCTTCAATTTGAACCCGTACTTCTGAATTCTTGAGAAGACTTTATGAACGTGTTGCTTTACATTTTGCCAGTTTGTTAATGTCGTCCATATATGCAACCGCGAAGTCAAGACAGATCAGCATAGTGTCCATTACTTGTTGGAAGATTGCCTGCGCGACCTTGATCCCGAAAGGTAGACTTTGGAATTTTTACAAACGATGGGTGTAGATACAGCGCAAATTTGAATATTCTTCCTCTACTGGTATTTGAAGATATGAGTCACTGAGGTCGATTTTTGAAAAAAAAAATCCCCCTTTTAGTTTCGCGAAAGTTTCTTCCGGGCTTGGCAAAGGATGGTGATAGTCTTTAAGTACAGCATTAAGCCTCGTCGAGAAATCGGCGCAGACCCGAATCTCCTTTGACTTCTTTTTAACAAAGACGGTCGGTGAAACCCATTCACTGTCTTCAATTTTAGACAAGACACCAGTTCTTTCTAGTCTGTCAAATTCTTCATTTATTTGTGGTTAAGAGGTGAAAGGCATATTTATTTTTTTTCTTAAACACTGGCTGGGTGTCATCTTTTAATTCGAATCTTGCCGTAATCTTATTACACCGACCAAGGCTCCCAAAAACTCACGGAAAAGTTTCTTTTAAATCTTTTATTAATTTTTTTTTTGCCTCGGTGGTCAGGTTTTCGATTTTCTGGCAAAATGAATTAATTGGCATTTCTCCACCAAATAAATCTTCTGTATTCTTTAATACGTACGTTTTTAGTTTTAACGTCCTCCCATGTAAAGTTACATTTGTGATAAGTTCTGCTTCAAACTTTATGTTCACCCCTGTCACGGACATGGCCATTTTATAAGATCTTGGCATGGTTGGTTTTCCAAACTCTTTTCAAGAGTGTAGATTTATGATTGTCAAATCTGACCCAGAATCCAACTGTAATTTGATATTTTTATTTAGGATTTGTACTTGCACGTATTTCCTAATGTTTAACCCATCTTGTTCATCCGATTTTGTGGTTTTCATGCAGCTATTAACCTTTTTTCTTGCTCGGCAGTGTGAGTTCTTGTGTCGATACGGCTACAAGTTAGGCACTTCTTATTCCGGTAAAAACAATCCTTATACTAATGAAGTGACCCACACCCGGAATACGGGTTAGGGGGCAAGTTGTCTTGTTGCTTTTTGAACTGGTGTGATTTTGAGTGAGAATTAAATTGTTTTTTTCTTTTGACGTAACTTTATTATGTGAGCTATGCCAGATTCCTCGATGTTTTTCGAATCTTGGCGTATACTTACGAATCTCTGATAGTCTTCCGCTATTTGTTTGAGAGTAAGGTTTCGCTCATTTTCCAATTTGTTCAGAACTCTACGTTTAATTTCAGCGTTCTCAAATGAAAAGAGTCCCTGAACAAATATCAGACACTTGAAATTATTCGAACTGAATTCTGACAATTTAAAATCGTCGCAATGCTTGTTCACGACCGACGCGAATGTAGTGTAATCTTCACTATCCTTTCTGGTTAAATTCCATCTCTTATGAAAAAGTGGAGTTTTAGGACTAAAATGTTCTGTAAGAAATTTAGCCGCTTCGGTAAATGTCAGTCCGCTTGTTTTACAGGGTAAAATATAGTTCACAAATTTAGTGTGCTCCATGGTGCCTAGTTTTCGAAGGCGAACCCTCTTAGAGTCTGTCCAATTCGCGCGGTCTGTGGCGTATAGATTCTAGTACCTTCTAAAATATGAAGCGAAAGTTATATCCTCGTCTGGAACATATGCAAAATTGTCTATTGCGCCCCAGATCGTGTCTTGTGAGAACGAATTTTCGTTATCACTAATTTGTCCCCTGCTTGTCAATTTAAGCAAGTTACTTTGCTCTTGTTGGTTTTGAAGTAGAATTTCTTCAAGATTTTGTTGTCTGATTTCCATTTGTTTTTGTAATGCGATATTGTCTTCTTCAATTCGCTTTTGAAGTTCAAGCCTTTCCTTCTCAGTTTGCTTTTGAATTTCAAGACGTTCTTTTTGTATATCTAAATGGAATTGTTCCATTCTTTTT